TTTTTTTTTTTTTTTTTTTTTTTTTTAAATCGAGAAAATACGTAAGGATGTAAAAGACACTCGCGCGAAAGAAGCGTTTAAGGCTCGGCCATCGGATCGAGTAGACACCTGTCCATTCGAAGCGACGTTATATGTTCTCTGTGAGCCATTGAACGGAAAGGACATAGGAGAGATAGAGAGCAATATAAAGGAGCAAGAGGATGATTTGGTTAGTAAGTTAGTGCGAATACCCACAGAGGTCTGAGAAGTAGTCAATAGCTGTTTGTACTGATTGGTAGCTTTGAGTGAGACGCAGCGGTTTCGGAGCTTGGCGCAGACCGACTTTCTAGCTGTTGTTAGACTCACAGCCTTCATGATGCTCTTGTCCCAAGCGATGCTGGCCTCGAGCATGTAGAGCGCCATGGCAAGCTGCGCCGATGTGTGCGCTCGCGCAGTTGCTTCTCGCCAGGTGTTCAGACCTCGTGGTGTCGTTTCCTCTGGCGGTGCGGGCGCCTGGTTGTTCTGGTCGGAGTTGGAGTTTGCGTTAGCGGCCGCCGCTTGTTCTGCTTTAAGGGCTGCCAGATTGGTATCTCCCGTGCTACGCAATTATCAACAAACAGTTGAGCGATTAAAATATAAGTTTAATTGTATGTAAAAGAGAAATATGGGAATTGAAAAGTTTTTTACCAAACGCCCAAAGGTGGTTTTAAATATCTCCTCTCTATAGCTGCCTCCAAGGAAAGTAACCTTTGCCGTGCTTGTTCAACCGCGCTGATCTTCTCCATCTCGTTTAACTTCTCAATTTCCTCAGCTTCCTCAGTTCCCGCTCGCGGTGGTAACTTCCAGCCCTTGACTTGCATGCTGGCGTTGGCTACTTTGTCTTCCAGCGCTTCCACTTGTTCCAAGAGCTGAGCATCTACACGCAATGCAACTTGTTCACTCCAGTCATTCGGATCATCAGGTTTCGGAATTGGCGTGTTAGGATCATCCGGTTCAGCTTGAAGTTCCGTGGCAGCCAAGTTGCCAGGATCGACGTTAATTCTACCGGTCACAGCTAGGAAGGACTCCATTGTCGCCCATGTTGTACGTTTTAACTCCTTCTCGCGAACGCCACGAGAATGTAAGTGCTCGAGAAGTTCTTGGAACGTGTCAACATCAGTGATTCTCCACCAACCGTATCTCAGATCTGTAAAAACGATATACACGATAAAAACAATTGTACACCATCCGTCATGTACATTGTGTGCATATTTTTCCTTTGAATTAATTTACCTTTCGGTACCGGCTTGGCTTCGCCAGGAGGCGGTAAGCCATGCACTTTCAGATACTCCAACTGCACCGCCTCATCTTGAGTCAGAATCAATGGCGCCGGGCTGTCACACCTATCGTAACTCGGACTAGCTGGCGGTGGGAATATAGGAATTCTAAGCTCAGTCGGTTCGGCTATGCCGAAGATTTGCTTAGTACTAGGACCCGGAGTGTCGCAAGTTTCACGCGGCAAAATTGAAAACCAATTGGGCTCGGTATTGCTGCTGTCTGAAATAATCGACATGACTAAAATTAATTTAAAAGTATTGAAGGATCTGTTCTAGACGACGATATATAAAAACTCACTAGAAATAAAAGAGCCGTTGAGTTCCTTTCCGTTGTGCAAATTATTGACGTGGTTGAACTTCTCGCCATTTGGTATTGTCTCGACAATCTTGTCCTCCATTGTCTTGACCAGAGGCTTTGACACATCCTCGTCCATCTCCTCGTTTTCTTTCTTCATTTCCTCGGTCTTCATATCGACGTCCATACTGACCACCTCCGTCTCTTGTTTTATTTCTTCGGATGTGACATTCGTTTTTGCATCTGTCATCGTACTGTCGACATCGTTGTTCCTTTTTTCTTCTTTTATTCCGTCGGCATTATCCGAGCCGCAATTTTGCACAGGCTCTTTCTTACAATTAATCTCCTCCACCTCGGGCTTCACTTTGTCCCCATGAGATTTCATATTCTCGTCTTGCTCGCTCGAGTTGTGTTTCTTTTCGTCCTTAACTTCGTTCGGCGCTTCGTTCTCGCGATTCTCAGAGTTCGTCTTTTTATTACCCTCCTGTTTCACTTCAGGCTTTTCTTGCGGCATGTTTTTGTACTTTTCATCTAGCTCGGCTTGCAATCCAAGAACCTCTGGTTCGGCGCTCTCCATGGCTTCTACAAAGATACCACCGGCGCATGCTAATTCCCAATATCTCCTCCAATACCTGTCCTGACCGAAAATGTGTGCCCGAAGTTGCTTCGACGAGCTGTTCAACTTCTGCAGTTGTTCTTCCGACTGCTTCAATAGCTTATCCAATTTCTTACCCAACTCTTCGCCTGACAAGTTTTTGTCTTCCTCCTAAACAGATTTAAAACACACGAAAATGTTTAAAATAAATCATAAATAAAAAAATATATATAATCATAAATTCAAAATGAATCATAAAATTTCATAAGTTTCTCCTTAGATCAACTTAAAAATAAATTAAATTCATTCAATCATACCTCTTCCGGCTGAGTGCCTTCGCTCTCGTTTTCTGACATATCCTCTACCTCGTCCTCATGATGAATTTCTTCCGGCGTAGGAGTCGTTCCCACGGCACTGGACGTGGTATTGCTCTCTTCCTCGCCTTCCTTTTTCTCGATGGTAATTGTGTCACCGATCTTATTCACGATGACACCCACAGCCTCCATTCGAACTTTTCGACTATGTAATTGTCTGAGCCTACGTGTAAGTTAAAACGTTAAGTACTCTATCAATCTAACTTTCTAATCCACTATCATTTTAATCATGCCACTTACTTTCTAATCTTAGTATCCAATACAAATCTCTCTTTCCTCAACTGAGCCACCGTCTCGAGGCTACCCTCTATCTGTCTGATCACAGCCTTATTTTGCAGCAGCTCGTTGCAGAGAAAACCGAGCATCTGCGCCTTGTGCGTCGGATTTAACGCCAGGAAAGGCTTCTCCCGCAATCTCTCCGACATCCTCCACGTTTCGTTGTTATGCAAGTGCTCGTAGAACTGCGCGTTCTTTCCCGAGCAAGTTGAAGCGTAATCGCCCCCGTTTTGATGATGATCGGCGAATTTCTTGTCACGTTCGCGCTCAAGGCATACACCCGTCAGCGCCTTCACTTCGCCGGTCGCGTTCGCGTACAAATAAATTCGCAGAACTTCGCTGATGTTGGCGTGAGTGATGTCGGCCTGACGTAAACTCTGACCCAAACCGGTGGTGTGTCTGGCCGGTTGCGGTATGCCCGGATCTTCGATGGCGCATACCAACAAATGCGTCATCACCGACAGCAGTTCCTCCTCGGCTTCCTCGTCGTTAAGAAGTGCGAGTTGAAGACTCTTCAAACTCGGTAGCGATTCCATGTCTACGAAAAGAAGCAAACAAATGATCAATCTCGAACAAAAGATGACGAATAGTCTAGTCATTCTCCTGACGTTATATGCAAAACCGTGTGTGCTCTTACCGAATCCCAATGTCTCCCCGAAATTGTGCAGGAATTCAAAGACCATGACGATGTCCGCGAACGCTTGCCCGGGAAGCTTGAGTCCAGGTAGTCTCTTGATTTCTGGCAGTGGCCTATGATCTGAGAAAAATCACGGTATCATTAGTCAAAAATGCACAAACAAACCTTGGCACTTGAATTTTTTAGCTCGCCGCGCCATCGCAATGCTCGCTCATCGCGTGGTATCGATCACACTTTATCCGTCCTGTCACGTACCTGTTAGCTCCATATCCTCCACCGGCTTGCGAATTTGTTCGACCAACTCCATCTCTATCCTTCTCTGTTCCGCGCGTTTTTCCTTCGTTGCTATTCTCTCGGCTCTGGCCTCCAGGCGCTTCTTCTCTTTTTCCTCCATCTTTCGGCGATTCTCCAACGCCCGTACCAGAGCCATGTGCTGCTTTCTTCTTTCTCTCTCCTGCGATCATTGTTATGGTAACTCTCGTCGCGTTTTACTTAACTGAGCGCACTCATGCATGTAATGCCGAAACAAGACAAAATCGCGGAAAAAAGAGGAAGAGAGAGCGAACGTAACAAGCTCTCGATTGTGTGTTGCTAAAAAGCGTTTGTGTGTGTGGAGTAGAAAATCATAAGAAAAATCGTTGCTTTTTAAAAGTCATTCGCGAAACATTTTAAAATCACTCATATATCTTGGACACATTTTACAAATCTCAAAACAATTGAGTTTTTTTTAAATACACAAATTTTCAAAAAAAAAAAATAAATAAATAAAATCCCTCATATTATTCTAACGAGATATATTAAATTTATGATTTTCGACTCTGCATTTGTGGCACCGCAAGAGCAACTGGTCAAACTCTCTACAACCGTCCCACAAATACTCCTTTTTTCACGCAACTACATATTACACGAATAATAATACTGTCAAACGGATGCATTGATGTAGTCATGGAAGAATCAAATCCGGCGCGCGGAGTCGTTTAGTTTTTTCTTTTTATTTTTTTAAACGTGTACAAAGTGTGCGAAGAAAACCGTGCAATTTCTAACAAACCAAAATGTCTAATTTTCACGTGACTTAGTCGAACACGCCTCCCTCAATCCTGAGGTTCATAAAGAGTCTAAAAGATAAAAATTTCTATCAAGCACACACGTCACTATGTAGAAACAAAAAAAAAAAAACGAGCGAGAAATTTTTCGAAAATCTCTTTCCTAACATTCTAACTCTCAAATTATATATTAAACACGTGTGTCTTTACAGAATTGTGAAGCTTTTATGAGAATTGGTGTGTGTGTGTGTGTAATGATCGTGGAAGCTCTGAAGCGGATGTCGATTAAATAAAAATGAACTTAATGCGTTACGAAACAAAAGTAAAGTGTGATGTTATCGATGTGTAAAGTTGTGCGATTGCACGTTCAGCCGCTCGTGTTAGAATTTCGCGAGTGTTTTTGCGCGCCCGAAGAGAAAACGTAACGCATAAGCCGCCGGAATTGCTCGAAACTTGCACGCCGCCAGGTTTGTGATGTAACGCAGAGCCGATGGTAAACCGTGCGAGTTAGTTTGTGAGAGCAGTTGCTAATTTCGTTAATGTCGTTCAAGTTAGATGCTAGATTGGAGGTATGTGACATACCAGCTCGACGGTGTAGAGCATCTCGCGCTGCTTGGTGAGCTCCTGCATGTACATCTGCGGCACAAAACACATCCACAGTCCACTAGTGTTCAAACCGCTAGATTCAATCTAACAATCTTTCTCGCTCTCTATGTGTGTACAGATGTTCTCTTATCGGCTTTATTTAGTTTGTTACAAAAAAAAAAAAAAAAAAAAAGTTAAATCGTGTCGCGAAGTCTCGGCAGCGTATCTTTCGAGACATGGACTCCTTGGATAACGCGCGGAAATGTGTTTGGTTATTGATTTTTACGATTTTCAAGATAAAGCGAGCGCGTTAAAATGAGATAACTGTCTCATCTTCATCATGTATATTAAAAAAAAAAACAATTAATTAATTAATGACTTGCTTTGATTATTTAATTTCTGATAAATACAAAACGCCGAGTTATTCTTTTGTAAAAAAAAAATATTGCAAGTGTTAAATTATTATTTAAAACATCTATACTGAATGTGTTATTAAATATCTTCAATTTTTTTAACGAATTCAAACTAATAAACCTCGTAAAGATTTGAAAAAAANATTTAAAANANNAAAAAAAAAAAAAAAAAAAAAAAAAACATTGTATTTGTACGAAAACTTTTAACGTCAATACATATACGTTACAATAATTAATTTTCTATTAGGAAAAAAAAACTTGAACTACACCACGTAATTAACTGTCGTTTTGCGATGAAGATTAAACATCCTGTGTACATGATATGCAATGAATTACACACTCCCCCGTAAATGATGTATTAATCGCATCAGCAATTAATTTGACTCTCTCATGTTTGATGAATATTAACCACGTAATATAAACAACGAGTTAGATTATACGTTAGATCAAAGTAAAGTCTGAGAATAGCAAAATGTTAAGTATTTCAAAATATGAATATTTCATATACAATCACAGATAAACTTACTACTTTTTGCTGAGGAATAACAAGAGTTAGACATAGACGATAACAACAGTGTAACAACCGCGTTCTAAATGCACATATTCATTTATTGTAATTGCAACTAACCGTTTCGATTTATGCATATTCTTTCTTCTATGTGATATTTGTGTTTTACAAATATTAACTAGAAATCATTCCTCCGTATTAAAACGCAAAACAACGTAATATCTCAAAATGACGACGCGATAATAATAAAAAAAAATAGATTATTCGTGTACGTACGCGTCGTGCTTACCTTTCTCAAGAGATATAGAAAAGTGAGACAGTGATTATCAAAAATCTAATGATTTTCAAATTGTAATCCATGAGAATGTTTTGAAGACGTAACAAATACTTGCTTTATAATTTGTATTTCTAAATATTCAATATAGTTCAGTAATTACACGATATACTTTCAAATATTTTTCTACAGAGAAACCGCATGCAAACAAATTGTGACATTTAACTTGTTTTGCTACCAGTAAACACCATTTCTGAGATACCTCGTTTAAGCAATTTGTTTGACCGTGTAATAATGGAATATATTGAAACGATCGTTAAAAAAATCTGTCTAATCCGTTTAATCGTAAATTATCCCGTTGTGTTACGTACGTGTTACTTTATTTTATAATGTATTTATTTTTGCGCAAAATCTTCAACAAAGATTATTTATTCCCATTCCCGTTCATTTCATCACCGCCACATATAAAAAATAGAACTCGTTCAACAGTTCGGTTTTACGCGATTTAAAAAAAACAGACGAGAGAGACTACGAATAAAGGCGATTATATATATATAAGTGAAACAGAGCATTTCTACGTCTACGAGAGAGACACACACTCACGCACACACACGCTAGAGTTCTACAGCGACGACACGATTGGCAGAGAACGATTACACATTGTTTTTTTTTTGTTTTTTTTGTTTTTTTTTTTTAATTCAAGGAACTCACCTGTTCCTTCAGCATCACCGCTTGCTGCCTCTTCAGCTCTCGTTCCTGAGAAATTAAGAATTCTTTAATACAACAAAATCGGCGTAAGCGAGATTTAAAACATTGAATGTTCACATTCGTGGGGGATTACACATTTCACGAGAGATGTGACTCAAGAAAAACGGGACGAGCATTAACATATAGTAACAATTGTTGAATTACCTGTTGCTTCCTTTGTTGTTCTTCCAGTCGGATCTTCTCCACCTCTTCCTGCCGTTTTTTCCGCGCCTGCGCACATGCCATACACACGTCACTCGCATCCGTGTAATCATGTTTTTTTTTTATTTTTTTTTTTTATTTTCAGGAGGAAACTTGGGCAATTTTTTTTGTCTCGTTCACGAGTTCGCTCAGTTTTTTACGACAAGTGAGGAAAATTATTGTTCTACGACGTTAAGTTATCGCGCGTGTTTCTCGCGTTACCGGCAAAGATAATTAATTGATTTGTTAGATCTGAAGTTAATAAACTTAGTGATCTGCCGTGAGAGGGACGATCAAAGTCGCGTTTAATAATTATTATAGATTTTATTAATTTCACTCTTGTATCTCATGAAACAATTTTCGAAATTATTTGCAGATTGATCGAAAATTACCGAGATTTATTTTTCACAAGAATAACATACAAAGTGTGACATAAAAACAAAACTCTCATAATTGTCAAAGATCTCGTCTCTAAATTTCTCATTGCGTAATTTTACAACTGCGTTTCTCGTTTTCCCGCACGTTTTTGAAACGAAGATAATATGTGACTGATTTTGTGACGTTCGTAGTGTAATTGTGATTCGAAGACTACATGTGGAAAGCGATGTCTAAGTAGCAAAGATCAATCACAGGAATTAAGCGCTACTCTAAAGTTCGGGGATGTAGCCGGAACTTAAAATGAGAGCTTTTTTATTCTAATAAAGAGATCATTTTCACTAACGGTTTTATTTATTTATTTATTTTTTTCTGCAGTGTTCTCTCTATCTTTTGCTTGCATTCTATCGAATGCTCAATTATACTATCGCGAATTAAAATCTTGGCAAAATATTTGAAATGTTGAGGATTCAAATTTAAAGTACTTTAAAGAAAGAAATTTTATCACTTTTTTTTATAACAAACATATAATTGACGTACGCAAGTACCGAGACTGGAAATTGCATCTTTGCATCCTTCCCGGATAAACTCTCTCGCGCTAAAAAAAAAAAAAACAAAAAAAAAAAGATCTATATCTCCGCTTTGAAAAACGCGTAATTAATCTTCGTTCCCGTCGACTTGGCGATTCGATCATCGTGCGTTTTTTTTGTCTTTTTTTTAATACCGGACTAACGTTACAGCTCGTTATCGAAATGTCGCGAGATAACTTGCGCTCTTGTATCTCTACATACCGATAAATATTGCATATCTCATTTACGCAATCGGGGTCCTTGCACAAACCTTCTCGTACAAAGAGAAAAAAGAGTGAAAGAGTGAAACAAAAACATGCGATTTTTAATAATAAAAACCCCACCAAGAGAGTTGTTTCGTTGGCGAATACACCGGCCGAGGCACCGCAGCCAAGCGTAAACGAGGAATAAATTCGCTCGTAAAAAATCTTAACGTGTGAACTCGACAGCAAAAAACACGAATTGAAATAATGATACATATATATATATGTATATATTGTATATATATGTATACATATATATATATATGTATGTATATAAATATATAGAGGAGAAAAACGATTTTCTATTTAAGAGATAACGAGAGAGATGTAACTGTTACATATGTAAACCAACACCATTATAAAAGACGAACAGAGACCGAAGAGAAGAAGAAGAAGAAGAAGAAGTAGAAGAAAAAGAAGAACACGTGGAAAAAGTGAAAAATCTCAGCGGGCATGCAAGGAGCCAAGCAATACTCGCCTATGTATGCACATATTATATAAATGGTACATACGTATATGTACCATCGCTTAAGCTGATAAAACGCTAGCTTAAAGTGTCGTTTCATTTATAGACACAAAATATGTAACAGTGAATAATAATACATAGTATAATAAATACATGTAATGTGTATGTATAGATTTCTATATATATAAATTCGTGTGTGTGTGTGTGTATCTGTAAAACGATTAGATTGAATAAATATCGTATATCTCTTCCACGCGAGATCACGTGTGATGCCTTTGTACGCAATACAACGAAAAGGTAAAAAGGAGAAAAAGCCTTTGTATTGTACTTCGTGTGTGTGTGTGTGTGTGTATGTGTATATATATATAGCGAATATCTCCGAATTATATAGTTGGTAGAAACAAGTGTTCGAGAAATATTGGCATGCTGGATAATCATGTAGCTAGCTGTTATTTTGTATAGTGACAGGAGAAGCTATAGGCACAGGATAGCATTGCGCGCGCGTTCTCGGTATTCCTATGTATTATAATATCGTGCCTACGTATATATATATCGTCAGCCTTAACGTGCCTCGGATCATATATGTGTATATATATATATACGCATCTAGGATCCCGGTTTTCGGAATTCTCGATTGAATCCGCGCGCTTCTCCGTCGTCAATTTCGGAAAACCATGCGGACCAACGAGAACTCTCGGGAACTGTCAACGGGATGTGCTTTTTCTCTATGATTTTTTGACGGATTTCGGATTTCCTGTGTTGTTTTTTTTGTTTTTGTTTTTTTTTTTTTTTTTTATCAAAAAATCAAGAGTCGCGAACTTGACGAGGGAGTCAAACATCAAATCGGCTAATTGAAAACCATGCGGACCAACGAGAACTCTCGGGAA